ACCAATAAATTTTCAAAATTGTTTTCCCTCTGTTCAGATAATTAATTATGAAGCTGCAACGAATGAATTAAGATGAAAAAATAATGAAAACAGTAAATAAATAAATGTCCACTGCACGCGTTGGATATATGAGGACAGCTTATGGTAATTTGGGATGATGGACTAGTGCCTAAATGCACGGATAAATTATAGGGCAAACATATGTCATGGGGTTGTACCTGCGGGAGTGATTATTACGGGATTATTATCTATCACGATATGTGTTTTGGGTGATGGACAGAGTGGGAGAGTTTGTTTGTCATGACGATAGTTGTGGTTGAGTGACGAAACAACGGATTTGAGGGTAAAAGGACTTTTAGAAATTTCCAACAGAGATTTTACCCTCGAAATTGTCCCGTCCTCTGAAATTTTTCCGACGGTGTGAGGTTTGAATTATGCATGTCGCATTGATTTTTCCGCCCATTTTTTAGCATCCAATCGAGACGTTTAAACAATCCCTCAACAAATCAATTTAGTTACAGCATTATAATATTTTTCATTCTCAATTTCCAACATTTTTCTCATCTTTTTAATCAGAATCGATTAAATTATTGAGTATTGAGCAATTAGTTAATTGATAATCACAAAAAAATGTTTTATTCACGCGATTGTTCGAGATTGTTATTGCAATTGATGAATAGCTTATAAATAATGGGATAGACTCTTGAAGAGGGTAAACACGATTTGTTATGATGAAATCAATTTCTTCGGGTGAAACAAATTTATTTCTCAGAGTGGAGGAGAAATATTGTTTTGTACGTCGAAATTTGAGAGGACGAGTTTTAAAGAGTCTTATTATCCGTTTGACGTGGAAAATGTCACTGAAAAATCCATAACAATTCCACAGCCACGAGTTTCCAGATAAATTGCTCCTTCCTTTGTCAAAGATGTCAGGGATTACCTGAAAATGAGCTCGCCTTGCTCATCAGACTGACACTCTTATCCCCTGTCACTCTCAACTTTTATTCCTTGTTGTGTTGTGGAATTTCCGGTGGTTCTTACCAGGATAAAATAATGGATTTTATGACGAGGTACTTGAAGCACTAACTAACAAGATTATCCAACATTTTTCTTCCCAATTCTCTCCAGCTGTCCTCTCGGGAAATATTGAGGGATAAAATTCTGCATTCTAGTTTCCCACCAGCAGAGATAGCGAGACATCCCCAAAGATATATTTTGCCATAAAAAACTTAACAGGACATCCCTGAGAAAAATTGAAAACAAAAAAAAAACAATCAATCATTTTTTTGCGAGTAATTTTCCTCAGATATCTCCAAATCCACAAAAAATTATGAAATTTCCATAGAGATCTTTTTTTTAGCTCTCCTTTTTTTCCACAAAAAATGTTAATGCAAAAAATGGATGTTTTCAACGGGTGAGTTGAGAAATGAAAATTACCTGAGGATTTAATGTGTTTCAGGAGGTGGAGCATTCCGCCGACATGTAACTCTCCACCATCCAACGATTATCCAACCGGACATCCGTTGAGGACTGGGTCAAGGCCCCAGAATAATGAAAGATTCACATCTGAGCAGTTACCGAGGCACACGCCTCGACTCATCCAACAATTGCATCAATCAACTGGTGATTGACAGCCACCTGTGACCATCCATAAGTATTGGCTACGACTTGTTCATACAGAGGCCCTCGAAGTGCACGTGAAAATCGGTAGAAGAACGACGTGGTCAAGGCGGAAGAGGAAGAGACGGAAAAAATACCCGGGGGTTTCATTTATTTATATATTATTTACAAATCCAAGTGTCAGTGCTGAAGAAAAATTGATCCGTTGGGGGGGGGTGTGTGAGATGATGCGATGGTACAGTGAAGGTGATTGGAAATTTCTGGAGAGCTGACTCGGGGTACACTTTGTTCTCTTTTATTTGTCATTCATTTAATCTACCCTTTGCACGAGCAATTTATCCCTCTGGCTCTGTCAAAAGTGGAAAGTGGACGGAAGAAAATCACGTGGGGCTAGACGACTTTATAAATAATTCCAGTCTCCCTTTGTTTTGCCCTCTGTCACTTCTCATTCTTCCTTTCGTACCATTTTTATTTATTTATATTGTTCTTCGTCTGGTCCCTCTGACCAATGGCTAATATCTCCCAGGGGTGACGGATGTTTATCCACAAGTGGATAGAGTAGACTGGAATTTAGGAGTGAGGGATTCAAGTTGGTGAGAGGTACTGACATCCTGGAATAGGAGAATGGAGATTGTGCGGAGGTTTTGTTGATGACTGGTGGGATTGGTTAATTTGTTTATAAATTGTGGTGTGTGGTGAGGGTTTGATCGTGATGGGGTGCAAACTGACTAAACTCGTGTCGTCGGGATCCCAGAATCCGAGTGGACGGGAGAGTCCACCACCTCCACCGGCTACGGATTCACGGCTACCACTTACTGCCAAGCAGAAGTACACTGTCACGTCTAGTTGGAAAGCTGTTGCCAGAGCTCTAGAACCCACTGGTATTTACATGTTCGTCAAGTGAGTTCAAATAGCTCTTTTATTACCTCCATTTTTTACCAATTTCTGCTCAAACTCATTTTTAAATTTGCATTTATTTGCAAATTTATTTGCAATTTTTCCATTTATAATTGAAAAAGATTTTAAGCAATTTAAATAATTAATTACATCATAATTGACGTGATGAAGCTGTGGAGGAATATAATT